CAGTATAATATATATGCGTGTTTGGACTAAACAATAGGTTATCGTATTTCCAATATGGCCGACGAGTGGAAGGCGCAAACAGCAACGCAGTTGAACACACTGCAAGAACACAATTTATGTTTTTACATCATGATTATAATAACCTAAAAACGCCGACGTACAAATTAGGCGTTTTCCGTCTATTGTGTAAACTATAGTAATAAAGATAGCTGGAGTTATGTAAACTTGGCAAAATCGCGGTAATTAACAGGAATTTGCGTGCAAATGACAAACGATCGATACAATAGATACGCGGATATTGTTATCGACAACTCTAAGTGTATCTGTACACATGTGTACGTAAATAGTAGGGAACGCTCGTTAATCGAGCGTGCTTACGCTTCGGATTGATACGCATTTTCCGCGTGGCTGCGTACGCGTGTAAAGTTCAACGACGAATTATTACAGTTTATATTATTTCTCAATATTTCTGATGAAACGCGCGTGATAACGATTATTAAAATGATCGTTTGCGTAAATGTTGGTTGCAAAATTTAATTGTTATTTTCAGTAACATTACACTGCATGCTCGTTTAATTTAGTTTTTATTACTTCGATTTCATGAAATATGCGGTTTATTAATGTATAAATACCTTGTAATTAAATAACGTGTAATATCTGTTACATGCACGCGTGGACCAGAATAATCTCACCTGTATAAAGGTAAGACATTAATTATGAAACGTATTTAAAGCTGCATGCAATGCTACGAGAATTACATTTCTCTAAAGGGATCTTATGGGTTAATTAAATTCATTAACACCACGCCACGATTTAGATAATCAATTCCTTAGTCTTCACGAGCAGCTACGAAATTAATCAAACGTTCTTTGAAGATAGTAAAGCATTAACGAAGAACTAAGTTAAAAAAAAGTCTTTCAAAAAATTATTTACAATTTTACGTCGACATTTTCGTTTCATAACAATTTTCAGTTTATAATAGCCTGCATTGAATGTATTATGTTAGTATTACGAATTAGAACAACTTGGTAGAAATCATAGTTTGCTTGTTAATTGGATCGTTTAGTTATACTGTGACTCGGCGATGTGCAGCATAATTATAAACTACGGATTTAATAAACGAGGCTGATTCCTAGTTAAATGGTTTCTGTATCATTTTGCGAGCAGATGCGAATTAAAGCTAATTCATGTGGATAAATACTGCCGGAAGCTTTTGTTCATTGTTTGCAAAATACATTTTGCTTTATTTAGACTGAAAACGCTGATTTACTAAATGTATAAACTGATCTTATAGACGCAGAATAGTCAATTCGGCCATTTTTCAATGATCAACTGCTGTCGCCATCTATCTATAAGACTTCACTGTTTTTCTTGATTTTCCTACCTACTATTTTTAGTAAAAGACCTATTGTTGCATTATTTCAACTCGCTACTTTTAATTCTTATGGCAAACTTGTGAATTGGAAGCTTATACCTAACCTCTTAAACGCTATAATGGAGATACACCGGTGTTACGTGAAAAGTGCGTAACTTATTGACTATACAAAATGACTGAAATAGTAGATATCCTTCCTGCTTTCAGTCACAAATCCCAGAAGCAATTCATCGTCCTGTAAGTCATGTATTATACGTTGATATAAAAGGGGAACTTATTCTGTTGCAGACTGAAACATCATTGATGTACGACGCCGTGCATCTGTTCGCGAAAGCGTTGCACGATCTGGACACGTCCCAGCAGATCGACATCAAGCCATTATCCTGCGAATCCACCGACACCTGGCCGCACGGATACTCACTGATAAACTACATGAAAATCGTAAGTACCCCATGTAGCCCAAAACTAGTGTAAAATAGTCCGGATCCGGGCCAACGCTCCCGATTCGTGGATCGCGCTAACCGAGCGCTCTGATTGGCCGCGGTTTTTTGTTAATAACTCCTCAACCACGCCACGGACGACTTTTTCGCTAAGGAAAATGTTGTTCAAAATCACGTCAGGAACCTTCCATTTCAATATTTTACACTAGTTTTGGTACATCCTATATACCTTCGTTCACTATAACGTATGAAAACTGTATTTTGCATGGTCGTCTCTGTTCGACTGAATTGAACTCCTCGCGTTATTTCCACGATTGTCCGCGGTGGAAATGTTCAAAAGAGCGAATTGGCGCACAGTACAAGGAAAAAAGAGGAAATTCTATTGAAGCCTTAATCCTATCGCGATATCGTTGGGAGAGTTCCAATTGAAAACGAGTCGAACGATCAGGAAACGATGGGAATCGAACGGCCTATGACGTAACTGGCAAACGGAGGGGTGCTGCGGGGTGGGAGGACCCGCGACGGGAATTAAGTTAGCAGGTTTTACTTGCCGCTTTCGAAACTGCAGCAATTTTTTTAAACCCCCAATCCCCACCTCCCCCCTCCCGGGTTTACGGAAACGCTTTCCTGCAACGGCGCGCAGCGTCTCGCGGGATCGTCGCAACCTCGTTTAAACTGCAGCCGAAGCTTATTCGCGCTCGCGAGGCTATTAGTTAATTTCCTGTGATCAAAGAACAATTTGTCGTTCTAAACGGTATTTACGAGGCGCGACGCAAAGAAAATGGAGCCCGAGAACGAGCAGAGAACGAGCAATGGAAGACAAAAAGCGAACAAACATCGGCTGCACTTACATAAGTACAAATGGACTCATCTCCGTTAATAGACGCGTTCTTTCGCTCCGAGGAAAAAAAATAGACAGATGCATCGTGAGACAATTTTCGGCTCCGTTTCTTATCAGTGTTAAATGAAGATCGTTTCTTATATCAAGATGGAAATTATTCGAATTGCCGGGAAGAGCGTAAAGGCACAGGCTGTGAACGAGCGACGGCCTAATTGCTCGGCCATGTAATTAGAGGCTCGTTGATCGCGGAAATGGCACGGAACCCGAACGCACCGGGACAAAAACGTAATCAGTGCGACAACGTTGTATACGTTTATCGATAGTAATCTCGCAGCTGGTCGCGGTCTCCGGTAACGCGGAGAAAGAGGTGAGGAGAGCGCAATAAATACAATGTAGGACGGTTTATCGGCGGACGTATCTCGGCGCGGAGGGTTGCGAATTAATTCCGGCAAATTATAGACCATCGGTCCCGACCTGTTCCGGCAGCGTAATAAGCCGTTATATCGATATGCTTAATCCTGAATGGCTCTCTTGCTCGCTAACGAGTACTCGCGGATGCGGGCGAATCGATCCGGGAAACATTGTGGCCCGTGGAGACGGACGACGACTTCCTTCTGTGCGTCCGTGATTGTTTCGTCGAACAATGGGAAGTTACCCCGTGGGTTAAACGAACCCGTCGAGCCCGTTGACAAATTATGGCTGCTGGTTTTGCGACCATGAATCCGCCACGACGTCCGACTGGCAGCTACTGCGAGATCGACGTAGGCCGAGTAATTCCGCAGTTTCACTTATCAGATTTTCCTTACGAACGACGTTCCAGGAGGTCCGTTAATCAAGTCCGTTCTGCTTCGAACATCGTAAGAGGCAAGCAGTTGATTGCCCTGTTTCAACGAATCAGGCTTCACCCTCTAGGTCTTAAACCTGTGGACATTTTATTCGCGTCTAGGACCTCTGCTAGCTTCAGGGGTCTCGGCGTCGAGTTCATGCAAGGAGGCCAATGAGCTCAGCTCTGACAAGGATATTTGCTGTGATAGGGTTGAGAATGTTAGGAGAAGATTGCGTCGGTCTCTACTTGCTCCTTGTACCTCGCTTGCTTAAGGCTTTACTCATGGTTAATATCATGATGTAAAAACATAAGGTGTGTCCTTGCGCATCCATTTGAACATCCATCTGTACACGGACACTTCCACTCGTTGGCCATTTTGGATTTCTAACCAATCACACTTCATATTAAAACAGAGCGAATTTTAAAATCGTAAACATGTCAAAAATTAGGTTCTCGGGGAGTAATATATGTGCGTGTTTGAAATAAACAATAGATCATCGTACTTCCAATATGGCCGATGGGTGGAAGGCGCAAACAGCGACACATTTGAACACGCCGGAAGAACACACCTTATGTTTTTACATCATGGTTAATATNGCTCGATTGGCGCGAGCTACCAATCGGGTGCATCGGCTCGGATTCGGACTATTTTACACTAGTTTTGGGCTAGTAAATTTTTTCATAAGGGGTGTCATTTTCGAGAAAACAAAGTACACATTTAATAAAGTATTATTATTATTATTATATTATGAAATAGAAATACGTTAGGTTAGGTTTCGAGAAACGAATCTCAGCTTCTCAATTAAATATAATGAACGGTTTCCAAGATCGTTGAAGTCGGTACTCAGATCGTTTTGAGCCATAAGCGAAAAGTTCTCCATTGGTTAGTAACCAGGATTTAGCTACGAGTGGACAACGGGCACTTCCGGCAAACCGTTGCCGAGATAACGAGACTTGAAGTTCCAATGGTTGTTGCGCAACGAGTAGTCTTAATTGGAAACAGAAAAATGTTCGGGAAAAACAAATAAATTCTCTGGGTTGAAAATATCGATTGGGTGATGATTCGACTGTTGGAAAAAATGACTGGTTCCTCGTCGCACGTAACAACCGGTGCTAAAATCTGATTACCTCAGGGATGTCGTGCCAATAACGGCGATAATTATTTTTTATCCTCGGCTGTCCTCGTTTTTTTTTTTTTTTTTCCCCATCCTACCGCTGAGTGAAAACGCTAATGACGTCCTGCGAATTCGCACTCCCGGGTAGCGCGATAATGATGTCTGCTTATACAGAAAATAGTATTTCGGGTCCGACAACGTCGGTGTTATTTTTCATTTTACTAATTAACCGGGGGCATATACTTAACCAACTGCTCCGGGGATTCGGCCGCTGAAAATCCGTATCAAAGCTGCGAGCTGGTTATTACGCCAGCAACGGCCTTTCCCGCACGATTTTTCTCCACCTAATTAATCCGAAAGTCCAATTTGTCGGTATTCGGCATTGCGATCGGCGTTTCGTTACAGCGCGGGTAAATCGAGATGTTTCACCGTCGATCAACGGAAGTCGGGACGGAACAAAACGAAGGACCGTGTCGGCATATATGTACAGCGTTGATTTTGAGTTTAATCGTGCGACGCGCTCACGTGACCCGTTGATTAGAACTAGTCACCGAGAATTTCGTGTTTAATTACAACGGGCACCCCAGTTACGCAAACATGCAGTTCATATTGCGGAGCGGAGCACCCACTGCCAGCGCGATCAGCTGCAGTCGCTATCTCGAATTGCCCTCGCCTGTAAATATTGAGCAGCATCCCGACGAGCACACGAGTGTCCCGAGGGAGTGACGCCACGTACTCGAACGCTTGCCAATTCTTACTCAACTCACTTATCATAACTGCCACTTTCGATCTTATACTACCATCGTTTCCATTCTCAAATCGTCTTCCTTGTCTTTCTTGAGGTAATTGTCAATGTATAATAATTTGTTGTCGCCAGGTCGAAATGGCGGGGCTGACCGGCATCATTAAATTCGATCACCAAGGATTCCGTTCTGACTTTATTCTGGATATCATCGAACTGAATAATAAGGAGGGACTCAAGAAAATTGGCACGTGGAACAGCACGAAGGGCATCAATTTCACGAGGAGCTACAAGGAAGAATACACTCAAATCGTTGAGAATCTTCAGAACAAAACGTTCATCGTCACGACCATATTGGTATGTAAATCAAATCTTAAATGCAGTCAATCGATAGAAATAATTGTATTAAGAGGCTTTACCAGTTTGACTAGAATTTAGGTCATTTTTGGGAATTTTTTTAAACATTATGGATTTGCTTATAAATGAACAGCATTTCAATGAAATCATTGAAAATTACTATTAATATTTGGAATAATTCTTATTGATTCAAAGCTAAATTATTCTCACTGTTCATTTCAATCCAAATTGTTGTCACATTTTATTTTCATGTTATTTTACGTTCCTCTGACCATCGATATATTTTTATATTTATTTATTATATACAATTAATATAATGTCAATCCAAATTATTGTTTCTCGTGACATTTTATTTTACTTTTGTATTTATTTTTCTATATAATTTTGTCACTCACAAACCCGCATTGAAATGAATAAACAAATGAACAAAACATTTTTGTACCTTTTTTTTATCCATTCGAAAATGTTACCTTAAGGAGGTTGGGTAGATCACTCGCGGGGCAGACGGTGAGAGGGGTAGTCCTATGCTTATACATGGGTGCTCTATCGTGATACCAACCTTAGATAAAACAATTTGAATTCGTTAAATATCGTATTTATCAATGAATTTACAAAGAAATTAGTATCAAATAACTTTTTTTAGTGTTAAGAATATAAACACGTCCTCGCGATAGACATAAAAGTTAATATTATTGAATTAAAAATATGTTTCATTGAGTTGGATCAGTTATACGTGAGAATCCTATTAATATCTTCCCTTTTCGTTCAATTATCTAAACAATTACATTGTAAATTCGCATTTTTCTTCTTTCAAATTGTTAAAAAATGTTCGAATATTCTATTACACTTTAACTCTTAACGATGTTACCATTTTTAAAAACTGTATTTTAGAATAATGACAAGATTTCTTGTATCTCCCATAAGAGCTCGTGTATAAGGATATAAGTTTGACATAGATTTATTTACAAACTACGTTGTCAATCGTTGTGAAACTTTCACACAATATTTTTCATGCTTCTACTAGTAGATTAAAATAATTTTCAAAACAATTTTATCATGTTCATTCCAGTACCCAACCTCCTTAAATCCTCCGCTTTTAATTGTACTCATTCGCCAGTGAATCTCATCAGCACAGAAAATTTTCTTAGACAATATTATTCGTGAAACGGCGCGCGGCAAGATGGAAAAGCCTGCACTCACGAGAACGTATTAAAATAGGCAGAAATTGGTGGTGAAACAAAGATCGGGCACACGGCGGACGTTAAACTTTTAGAGCCGGTAGTCAACTTTCAAAAGTAGCTGCAACGTTTCCGGGATGGTTTCAATCATCTAAAGTGATTTGCTGAAATCTCCGACCCTTATCTCTCATCCGGTTCCTCCAGTGCGGATTTGAAAAATTTTCCTCTCCTCCGGGTGCTCAACCGTAGCGGCCGCGTAAATCATTCGCGTATCGTTAAAATCCCGACTGTTTGTTTTTCCGGAATGAAAAGGAAACAGAAACGGGAGTTGAACGAACGCGGCGCGGAAGCGAGAAACTTGCTTCTCCTTTTTCGCCCGCCTCCCTCGCCAGCTCGTTAGCTTTTTTCCCTCTCCGTTTCTCCACCCCCCCCCCTCTGCACCTTCTCTTTTATCCCGCGGAACCGTTCTTCTGGGGGACCAGAAGAAAACCGGTGGAAGCCGGAAACCGGGCGCCGCCGCCGGGGATACGCGATTTAATTGAAGTTTTCACGTCGGACCGGCCAACCGCGTTACTTATTCTCGCGCTAATTGCGACGACAAGTAATACACTCGCCGGCGAACGTATTAACTGGCTGGAAGTTTCCTGGCTGGGAGAAGTGTCAGTCGGATGAGGGTGTCGAGTCTCGCGGTGCGCGGCGACGAGATAAGGGTGCTCGAGACCGACGGAGAAGACGCGCCGCGCCGTTGCCGCGCCGCCTGAGGAAACTTAAACATTCTAACGCCCGGCCTCTTTAAACGCTCTAAGCGTTCTATATTTACGACGGTATTAATCGGATTTACCCGCGAACGTGCCTGAATAACGGCTCGGGTTAATTCGCCGGGGCTCACTCGAAAGTCCCGCTCGAGTTTCTCTCACTCAGCCTTAGTGGCTCTCGTTAACTTCGGCATTAGATAACTCGTAAACGTCATTGTCCGTGATCAAATTTTCTAACTTTCCGACGGGCTACAACTGAAGTCGGTTTCATTGCCTCTCGAGTTTAATCATCATACTTAGAGGCCGATAGTCAGAGTCGTTACTTATATTTAAGATCGCCTTAAGCATAAGGTAGCTCGCTATTTCGGTATCAAGAGAGGATTTATCTTAAAATAAGAATATGAAGTGAAAATTTCATTATTAAATATATATTATCATTTGTACATTCATATATTTTAATATTATATTATAAAAATGTATAAACAAAGTAAAATAAACAACTTTGTACCGTTTTCGTCAGTTACTGCGTATTCCATGCGGCGGCCATATTGGCTACTTAAAATAAAATAAACGGAGATAAAAGGAACAGAAATCTATTCAAGTTAAAGTTAATTTCCACTTTCAATTCTCCTTAACTTACCTCCTTTCAACACGAAATACGATTAACGAACGAGACAATATGGCGGTTACAAGGAAGGCCATGAAGTTGGCTGCGTAATAACACAGCTTACGTATTTCCACTTGCGACGTGGTTAATTTTTGTAAATTCGGCCGCGCAAACGTCTGTCACAATTAATTTGACGCTCTTCAGAAATTCCACGT